TTAAGACAGGGGCCTTAATGATTACCTGCACTATTTTGGGGGGTTCCTTGTTGTAGTAAACGTATACTGTACCCCAAGACTCTCGTATTAGTGGCGGACTTGGGATGGGGGATGCCTTGTTCCGTGCTTGGTTCGGAGGCGCAAAGTCCTGTCGGCCCCAGATAGAAGACGTGGGGGCAGAGGTGTTTAGGATACGAGCCGAGGAGATTTTTTTAGGGTTTAGGGTTTAGGGTGTAGGGCCGCGGACATCACTTCCATGTCAGGTAGTTCATATGGAGACCTGTTGGGCACAAGAGCTGTTGCCCGAAGAAGGTACGCGGAGAAAGAGTTCCATTTCATCGAGGAGAAGGGTTCTCTTATCAGAGGGCGTTTTGAGGGCGTGCCTTCTGTTGAGTTTGCAATGTCTAAGGGCTTTAGGAGGGACCCTTAATAGAGACCCTTGTAGGTTATTGGGGTTGATATGAAGACTACCTGGCTATATAAGGGGTATATAAGGACTATACAATGGCTATTGAAGGTAATGGGATTAAGGGTCCCTATTAGGGGTCCCTCCTAAAGTCCACAGACAATGAGGCCCTGAGGTCCACATTCTTCTATTGCGGTTTTGGTGTGACGTGGACATATCATATGCAGAAATCAATACTCATGAACTTGAGCCCTGAGGGTATGGAGCCTTAGGTGGCCTCAGGGTAAGGAGGTCAGAAGGCACTTGAGGTGAAATTTCTTTTTCAATTCTGCCTGTCGCCTCCTTTTCTGCGCAGCCACAAGGGTGAGCGCATCCTGTTCAAGGGTCTTGCCAATATGGAAGCATACAGTACAGCACGTCTAAACAGTGTGAATCTGCATCGACAAGTAAATAGGTAAAGGTGAGTTTCAGCTGTCAAGCCATCTGTCTACCTACCCATCTATCCACCTATGCACCTGCTTACCTACATATCTGTGATCCATCCATCCGTGCGTCTGTCCTTTCCATCCTTCCATCGATCGATCTATCGATCATCCGGTTTCTCTATCCATGTATCTACCTCCGGATGCTGGCATGTTGAGTTGCTCAGACTGCCAAGCCCATGTCAGCGCAGGCCAGTTTGAGGCCCAAGAGCTCTGAGAAGAAGTTGTTTTGCAACACTCTTGTATAGGGTTTCTACAGTATACCGTGCAATCCTACAAGATAGTTTCAGCCCCCCAGAGCCCTGAATCACGACAAACTGGGGCAGTCTCCTTGGGGTTCAAACCTTGCACGAAAGCACAAGCTTCATGACCACAGGCAGAGACCACCAAGAATCCCAAAACCCTGAACTTTACCCGAAACCCTAAACCCTAAACCCTCCTAAACCCTAAACCCTCCCTAAACCCTAAACCCTCCCTAAACCCTAAACCCTCCCGAAACCCTAAACCCTCAATCCTAAACCCTAAACTATTGCTGTATGCATCGGTCACGGCCCGGCATCTGCGCCATCCGAGGCCGAGTCGGGTCCCGTGTTAGTTCACTGGGTTTAGGGTTTAATATGGAGGCCTAATTAAATGATTTAATCTAGGGGCCTAAATAGTTACCTATACTATTTTGGGGGTTCTTAATTACAATTATAGTATGATGGACCCCAAAACCGAATTCTAGTTATTAAGGCCCCTATATTACCAATATTCTTCTTGAGGGCTCCTTATTATCATTATACTATAAAGGAGCCCGAAACCCTATTCTAATTATTAAGGCCCCTACATTGTGGGGGCCGGGGCCATGCCGTGCTTTACCGCTCAAGAACTACGGTTGATGATATAAATCCTGCATTACCCATAATGAGGAATAGGCCGTGATTCCTGTGAATTCGGGTCCTTAAGGTAGTGCAGGGTTTATATCATCAACAGTAGTGTATGGAATTTAACAAGCGTCGCCCGGTGAGTTCCTTGGGGCTCCATGATAATCGGGATTAATCGAGGACGGCCGGCCAAAGATGTCGCAAATCAAGCCTTAACGTCGCCAGAAAGCTTCAGGGCTTCTGGGACATTCGCCCCTGAACCCTAAACCTTAAACTCTAAAGCCTATAACCCTAAATCCTTTCAACACCTAGACGCGGAGGTTTCCTTCGCAGAGATGGCTTGTGCAGGCCGATCGGGGAGCAACAGCTACTACTTCTACTACTGCTACTATTGCCGCTGCTGCTACTAGTGCTGCTACTGCTACTGCTACCCTGCTACCCTGCTACCCTGCTACCCTGCTACCCTGCTACCCTGCTGCTACTGCTACTGCTGCTGCTGCTGCTGCTGCTGCTGCTGCTGCTGCTGATGCTGCGACTGCTGCTGCGACTGCTGCGCCACTTCTACTCCTTTCGTCGACTTCGACGCGACTGCGACGACAACCACGAAACGACGACTGCTAGAGCTACTACGACTGCTACTACTACGACTGCTACTACTGCTGCCGCTACTGCTACTACTGTACTTACTGCTGTAAAGTCCAGAGAGCTGAACCCTGGACACACACAGTAGAGAAGCGAGAGGTACAGGCACCTCCTAGACCGACTGAGGCTAAGGCACAGTGCTTTCTCTGTGCCTTAGTTTGTGTAATAGTCGGCGCCTCAATAATTGCCAATACTATTTCGGGGTTCTTGAATATAACCATAGCGCCAGATTATACCCTAAAGCACCTTTCACCCCTATTCTAATTTTTTAGGCCCTATATTATACTCTTTGCCGCAGTCCCCGCATCCTTGTGGTATCTTGTGGTGCTGTTATGCCGAAAGTGGCCCAGTCGTCATCTTGTGCAAAATGCTCTCACTTAGTGCATGATGTCGAAATGCAGTTGCTTTAGTCGGCTCAGACCGGACAGCTTGCAGCGTCTCCAGCCAACATGCCCTCAGGTGGTCGCTAGCCCTGGTAGTACTAGTAATCATGATGGTAACAGTAGTAATAATCGTACTGTAGTAATTATGATAGTAACAACTGGCGCTTTGTTCGTGGTTGCCTGGTTGATACTATAACGAGGCTGTTCGTAGAACGAAGCCTCAGGACGGTCATAAATTTTCAGACATGTTCAGCCTTGAGGCGAGGGAGCCGGGACGGTATTTCGGACCTTCACCCTGGGTTCGTAACAGTAGTAACATGATAAAACAAGAAAAACAGTACTGATATTAATAACAATAATATTAATATTCATAATCAAATTATTATCATTATTATTATTAAGAAGAATAACAGTAATAATAGTAAAAATCGTAGCAATACTAGTAGTAGTAGGAACAACGGCCAGTCTGGCTTGGCGTTCGGACTTGGGGATGCCAAACGATCCACCCTAAACTCGAAACTCTAAACCCTAAACCCTAAAGCCTGAAGCCTAAGCCCAAAACCCTAAACCCCTAAACCCCTAAACCCTAAACTCTAAAAACTATACCCTGAATCCCAAACCCTCAACCCTAAAGCCTTTTACTATAGGATGGGGCAGCGGCAAAAAGGAGCACCTAATAAAACACAGAAACCTTGAACCCTAAACTTCCCTAAACCCTAAACCCTAAACCCTAAACCCTAAACCCTAAACCCTAAAAAAAAAAAAACTTCCCTAAACCTTAGGCCTGAGCCTTTCTCCCTGATTCCCCGAAGTTCGCAGGGGCAGCTTCACCACCGGTGCCGGGCAGGCAGCACGCGGAGTTCCTGTCTTTCCATCCCTTATAGCTTAGGGGCACTTAGAAATAATTTTTGGTTACTATACACCCTAAGAAGCAGCTAAAATTATAATTTTTGCTAGGGGTCTAAGTTCAGTATAGATAGGGTTTAGGGACCTTCTTTCGGGAGGCTTTCATCTGCTGCTGTGCCTCTACTGTACGCTTCTAGAACCTGAGCCCCAAACCCTCAGCCCTGAGTTAAACCCTACGATAAACCGCTAGAAGAACCCTAAAGCCCTGGGCCCCAAAACTCTGAAATCCGAAACCCTACTTGGAGGATCATGGGACTTAGTTAGTATGGTTATTAGTCCCCTAATTGGGGTTATAATTATAGTTACCTTAGTTATAACCCTACTTACTAAGTCCCATAAGAGGCCACCGGCCGAGATGTGGCCGCCCTCTCGCACGCGCTGCGAGCCAACCCGGCGCAGCCGCTGGAGCAGGCCCTGGGCCTGCTGCCGGCCGAGGAGATCTCCAAAATGTGCGGAGTCTGTAAATAGGGCCTTGATAATTAGAAGAATAATTAATTAGAATAATAATTAGAATAAGAATTAGAATACTAGTTAGAGAAGGGTTTTAGGGATATTGTACCATTCTCATCATTAAGGCCCCTACATTAGGATCTTTAGTTGACGGTTCCGGAATTAAGCGCGCGTGCAGCCAACGTCGAGTCCTAGCATGAGCAACCGTGGGCCCCGCCAGTGGCAAAGACGGAAACGCGCGAGCTCTGTCAAGAGCTTCCGCCGAGGAGGGTGCTCGGCTTGTGGCTTTCAACATGGCCATCGACCGCTGTGCCAAGGTTGGGCCGGAGAGTCTTTTCCTTTACGGAGTATTCCCATCTCAGCGATAGGGAAAGAATCGTCGCAACCTCCCAAACCCGAACCCTTCCGGGCCTCGGGCGCCCATGGCAGGTTGGCAGGTGGGAGCTCTCCGCCGCGTGCCTAGGAAACTGCCCCACGATAGTTCTCTCAGTCACCATCCGACTCCGCTCTTCCACGGCGAGAATGGCCTGTCTTGGGCACCCTAAACCCTAAACCCTAAACCCTAAACCCTAAACCCTAAACCCTAAACCCTAAACCCCCCTTTGATTGGCTCATGCAAGTGCAGGTTGGAAGGTTCGCTGCTAAGATTCTTCCTGCCTTTGAGGTGTCACTGCTCCGCCACATGCAGGAGAAGGCTGCTGCTGCTGAGCCTTCGAATCGTCCGGCAGATATGTGTGATCAGTAGCCTCAGTAGCCAACACCAAAATCTACTTATGGCCCCAATCATGGTGCCTACAACGGCCACAGACACTGTGTATGACGATAGTCAATCCCTTATAGCCCCCTAGAAAGGTACCTTTGAGTACCGGGGGCTGAGGATTTCAGGTTCCGGGATTCTTGGGGATTCTGTGGCTGTGGTACATTCTAGAATGTGCCACTGGCATCTTCACGAACAAATTCATCCTCACTATTTTTCATACGGTCAAAATCCCAAATCCTACACACTTACCCCCAGGCCCTGGACCCCTAGACCTCAATCCAAACCTTTGGCCTCAGCGCCTGGAACACGCTCTAAGCTCTCGAGCCCGCTGCACTGAACCCCCAAATTGCAAACCCCTGTGCGCAGAGCGCTGAACCCTTGGACCCTAAGCCCAAATCCCCTAAAGCCTAAACTGTCGTAATTTCAAAAGCAACCGACGAGACAGCAC